GAAGAAACCCCAAACATCCAAATTCTCGGCCCTAAACCCGAAACCGCCCTGACATGTCAGGTTTTCAACCTTAAACCGTAAACCGTAAGCCCTAAACCCCAACCCCAACCCTTATAGGTCCCTTGTAGGAACCCTTATAGATCCCTTTAAAAGGAACCCTAAAGCCCTAAACCCCACACCCCCTGCCTTGATGTCGAAGCCCTCCTCCAGCGGCACACCCCGTAGGCTAACCTGAGGGATCTAAACTAAGTCGCCGTAATAAGGAAGCCATATTACTTAATGTAGATTCCCCCTAAAACCCTAGACCCTAAACCCTAAACCTATGGTATCTTAATTAAACCCTAAACCCTAAACCCATGGTATCTTAAATCCTAAACCCTAAACCTATGGTATCTTAAACCCTAAACCCTAAACCCTAAACCTATGGTATCTTAAACCCTAAACCCTAAACCCTAAACCCCAAACCCTAAACCCCAAACCCTAAACCCTAAACCCCTTAACAAGAACCCAGCAACAGCCGAGGCGGCAGATGTCGGCACCGAGGCGAAGGATGCGAGCGACTCTGATACTTCCCCGCAGTGCGCGTCCTTCTTTGGGGGTTTAGGGCTTAGGGTTTCGGGGACCCTTAGGGTTCCTTTAAAGGGTACCATAAGATACCATAAGGGTTCCTGTAAGGGATCTATAAGGGTTTAGGGTTTAGGGTTTCGGGCCTAGGGTTTAGGGTTTAGGGTTTAGGGTTCAGGGTTTAGGGTTTAAGGGTTTAGGGTTTAAGGGTTTTAGGGTTTAGGGTTTCGGGCCTAGGGTTTAGGGTCTAGGGTTTAGGGTTTAGGGTCTAGGGTTTGCCGTAAAGTGGCGCATAAGCGGAAGTATCTTGCGACAGTGTAATTTCGAGTGCGTCGTCTTCTGACGATTGGCCGTTGGAGCCTGCTTGTGGATGGCTCTTTCTGTTAACTCTCCCACCCCACGCCGTGCAGTGCAGGGAGCAGGGAGCAGGGAGCAGGGAGCAGGGAGCAGGGCGGGCACAACAGGGCAGAAGGCAAGGGGCCAAGGGGGCCCAGACGGGCAGGCGTATTGGGTCGCTCTGCACCATCGAGGTCGAGGGGCTGAAGCGCCGCCCACCCACGGAGGTGGGCGGCCTATGCCTTGAGTTTAGAGTTTGGTATTTGCACTTGAAGAGTGGGGTTTCGAGAACTGTTATCTGTTCCACAAGGCATACAGGCTTCGAAGAGTTTGGGTCAAGCAAACTTCCCGCAGGCCAGCATTTGGAGCAAGCCCCCCACATCTTGTTCACTACCAGACTACGCCACGCGGGAACACGAAGTGTGATTACAATGTATTGCAATATCGAACTTTTTCATCATAATCTTTTGCTCGGAAAATCATAATCAGTGCACTTCTGTCGCGCGGTATGAACGCCAGCAGCGGGAGCAGCAGTCGTAGCAAAAGTAGCGCTGTCAGCAGTGCTGCTGATAGGGCCAGCACTTGCGACAGCGAGCCATGTCAGTTTTCGCAGCATTGCTGAGATTACTCGTTTGAAGTATCAAATTGGGAGGTGACACTCGTTGTAAAGCCACGTCAATCGTATGAGTGGCTTTCCATGGTATGGTTGCGATACTCGAACCGCTGGTGTCCTTTCTACTAGTCCTGCTCGGCGGGACTAGTCCATATCAGCAGGAAGAGAAGTAGCAACTAGCGTTTCAGCTATCATCAGTGGCGTTAGATCACTAAAACATAGTGCTGGTTTGCTGGTTCCAACAGTGCAGCTAGGAAAGCCCGACCCCAGTGACAATGATGAACCCTAAAGCTCAAATGCTGAATCCTTGTGGAACTGCTGTAAAACCCTTGGCCGTAGCGATTGCTCAAAGAAGCCATATATAGAATCCAATCTCTACTTCAACTTTTTGCCGGGCACCTCCCGCGTTGGCGGCTGAAGATGCGACTTAGGTGCAGGAGCCATGGCGAAACAAACTCACAGATAAATACGCCGTGGCAGCTTGCCCTGAGCCTTGGGGCTCTGGAAGGATTTAGGATCTGGGGTTTAGGTTTAGGCTTTAGGGTTTAAGGTTTAGGGTTTAGGTTTAGGGTTTAGGCTTTAGGGTTTAAGGTTTAGGGTTTAGGTTTAGGCTTTAGGGTTTAAGGTTTAGGGTTTAGGTTTAGGCTTTAGGGTTTAAGGTTTAGGGTATAGGGCTTCGGCTTTAGGGTTTAAGGTTTAGGGTATAGGGCTTCGGCTTTAGGGTTGAAGGTTTAGGGTATAGGGCTTCGGCTTTAGGGTTGAAGGTTTAGGGTTTAGGGTGTGTTGCATAGAGAACGACACGGATAAAATAATGGATACTATAATAAGCCTCCCCATCAAGTCTTCGCCCTTTCTCCTCGAAACAAATAACAAGAGTGACCAACACCACAAAATCAACAGGTGACGTAGGAGGAGGGACGAAGCAGTCTGACGATACTGACAACATCCCTGAACCTGGAACCCGAGAGTAGCTACAGTCGCACCCCAAACCCAAAGACACCAACAAACGCTCCCAAAACCCTATCAAGCACAAACCCATCTACACCCTAAACCCACTCTAAATCCTAGATCCCACCCTACATGTACCCTAAACCCTAAAGCGGCTATCTGCCTTTGTCAAGACGGCCATCCGGTTGTTGATGAGATCGTTGTGCTCGAACCTCGCGACTCCATGAGCCAGGCTCAGGCTCAAAGCCTCTGGGGTTCCTTTAAAGGGATCTATAGAGGGGGTACTATAAGGGACTTATAAGATGGGTTCTATAGTAAGGGTGTTTAAGGCTTTGGAGTTTTGGGTTTGGGGTTGTTTGGGTTTAGGGTTTAGGATTTAGGGCTTTGGGTTTTGGGGCTTAGGGTTGAGGGATTTAGGTCTTTGGGGGTTTAGGGCTGACGGGTTTGGAGTTTAGGCTTTGACGGCTTAAGGGTTTAGGGTGTAGGTTTAGGGCCTTGGGGTTAGGGTTGAGGGCTGCGGTGTTTATGGCTTAGAGCTTTGTGCTTTGGGACTTAGGGCCTAGGGCTTTGGGGCTTAGGGCTTTGGGGCTTAGGGGGCTTTGGGGCTCAGGGTTTATATATGGGCTTAGGGTTTAAAGTTGAAGAGTTTCAGGGCTTGTGGAGTTCAGGCTTTGAAGCTTTACGGTTTCGGGATTACGGCTCTAGGGTCTAAGGATGCGGCTCACAGGGTCTGAGACAACTTGGCTTCTGGCTGCAGCTCAAGGAGGTAAGCTTGGTTTGGGGCTTGTGGCTTGGGGGTTGAGAGGTTGGAGGACTTCAAGATTGGGCTCAGCTCTTCTAGAAACCGTGGGTTCCTTAATGGGGCCGGGGCTTCTTAATCATGTTCCTACATGATGAAGCCGCATCATCAAGAATGTAAAAAACCCGTAGCGAGCTCAGGAGACTCTAAAGCTAGTCATCATCACGGTAGTCGGGGCGCCGTGCCGTCCCAGCGTCGTCGTGGTGGTTCTGGTGGTTGGCGACATCATATACCCCACATAACCTTTTTCGAAAAACCTCCCTGACATACAGGTAAACGATAACCTCTGTCTGATAACCTCAGTCACATACTCGTGCCGGGGGAGATTGGTTCTCCATCTTTCACCCTGACGGTGTGGTCGCACTCGTGGCTGTCGCCAACGTCATCGCAGAAGTACAAGTCGTCGCAGCCACACCAAGGAAAAAGGCAGCAAGGCTATCTTTCACCACAAATGCATCAACAACGTGGCCCCGGACCTTAAAACCACCACAAAATTCTATTCCCTGAGCAGCATTTAGCCAGGGCTAGGTTTGTGCTGCAAAAAAACCGAAGACCAACACCCTGAACCCCACACCCAACACAAGAGCACTAAACGGAAAATGGTATTGCGACAAGCTGATGTAGAAACCGTCGGTGCTTGCCAGGGCACTCGAGAAGCATCCTATACTTTGGGGATCAGAAACATGGGCATGGAAAAGCCGCAGGAGAATTCCCGCATAATGGGCTGCGGAAACCTTGTAAAGCCCGCAAAAAAAACGTCTGGACCATTCTAAAAACCTGAGTAAAGAACTCGCAGGGAAACCTCTGTTTATGCTGGGCAGCATCGTCGAGAGACGCTCCCTGATCTTCCGCGCATCACCTGAAGACTTCTGCCTTGGGTACTGCCCCCATACAGTAACAGTCGTTTGAGGCTTAGGGTTTAGGGTTTAGGGTTTAAGGGCTACTATTAAGGTCCTAATATATCTATATTATGAATATTATCCAACTGTTACTGAGTGGGGGGCAGTACCCAACTTCTGCCAGCTATCGTTGCTGAAGGGACTGGGGGTTTGGGCTTTTGGGTTTGTTTGGGGTTTGGGGTTCAGGGCTTGGGATTCCCCATACATAACTCTTGAGGATTGGGGCTATCGGGTTTCCAACCTTTGGGCTTCTACTGTAGAAGAAACCCTTGAGCCTGAACCCTGAACCCTAAACCCCAAACCAAACATCCTAAACCCTAAACCCCCTAAAAGCCTAAACCCTACACCCTAAAATCCCCGAAAAGCCTAAACCCTACATCCTAAACCCCCTAAAACCCTAAAGGTTTCTTCTATACCAGTCCTGAGGCCGGAGGGAGTGGATTTCAGCATGAAGCCCTCGGCCGCACAGGAAGCAAAGCCGATGCAAACCCGACACCCTCTTCAGTGCTGCACCCGGACATCCTACGTCAAGAGCCGTAAACTTCGAGGCCCAAGCCCTGAAAGGCCAATAATCCCGAAGGGTGACACCTTGCGTTCTGAGCTTGTAAGCTCCAACCGCGAGCCTCCAGCCCACGTGCGAAACTTTAACCAACCCGGCACCCCGAAAACAACCCAAAACCCAAACCTCAAACACTGAACCTCACCCGAAAACGACTCTCTCACTCACTCACTCGCGCAAGAGGACGTCCTGTGCTAACTACAGCGTGCAAGGGCCCAAAAGCGTGACTGCTGTAGTCACGCGGCCAGAAATGGAAGGAAAACACTGTACAGGGGCGGCGAGTCATGCTGCCGGATAGGCCCAGAAAGCTCGCAAAGGAAGCGAGGCCGGGGCCGAGCAGGCAGGGCGAGCAATGACTGCACGCACAAGGGAGGCCAAGGAAGCAGAGCTAGCGACAAGGAAGACCCGTCCCCTCGGCGAAAGGAAGTCCAAGAAGAAGGCCGCCGGGAGCAAGCGGCGCAGCAGGGCAAGGCCCGAATTGCTGGGGCGCCCCCAAAGCCAGAGGGCACCGCTGCGGAGGACAGCCTTGCAGATCATACGGAAGGATACCGTGGCAGCGGCCAACTCCAAAAGAGACCACTTGCCAGCAGTGGCATCAGCAAGGGTGGCTGTTGCGCCCAACCCACACGAAGAGGCGGAGCGCAGAACACCAAAGCGACGGATGGCCCGATGCTCCCAAGGTTCGAAGAACTCGAGCGCGGACCACATAGGCCAGAGCCGGTGCCAGGAGGAGGGAAGCTGAAAAACACCTCCAAGGCCAAGAAGCCCAGGCCACCAGGGCGAGGGAAGAGCCCAGTCGTCACAGCCAGCAGCCCCTTCCACAACGGAGAACCATTGCAAAGGGTGTTGCACAGGAGAGGCCACATCGACAGTGGCCGAGCGGGAATGCTGGGAGGCAAGGGACGTGGGGGAGGAACCGCGTGCAGCGGAGATATGGCAAGCCTGCTGTGCGCCGAAAACATCGTCGGAAGGCGACAAGGGAGAAGGACGATGCAGGTTGCCGGGGACAAGGTCCGAGAGGGCAGGGGAGCGTTGAACAGCGTCCCACTCAGCTTGCAGGGCAGCATCATCGGCCGGCACCCCAAGGTCGGCCGCCCGTCTCTGCGCTGGGGTGGCATTGCAAGGCCCGCAGATGCGCTGCGGAGGGACTCCCCGGTGGCTGGCGCGACCCGAACGTTTTGTGCCCGAGCCGTACTGGTAGACAGGGCCGACTGTAACGCGCAGGCCGTGCAGGCAGGAGCGCTGCGTTTGAAGGTGGTGCTTCAGTCGATCCGAGGATTGGAAGTCTCGCATACACCAAAGACAAACCGAGCCCGCCATATAGGCAGTCACATCAGACAGGACGCCGTGTTTCCGATGCATGTGAGCTCGTACTGCATGAAGGCTCGGGAAAACTCCTCGACAGACCGGGCAACTGTGGGATTGTGGCGCACCTAGGATCTTGGTGGTGCGACGGGAGGCCAGATCCGCCCAAAGCTGTGCGCAGGCAGCGTACCTGTGCCCAAATTTGCTCAGAGCCTTGCACGCTCGAAGGAGAGCGCGTCCGTTCTGCTGAACGAACAGGACAGTGATGGAGGGGGGAGCGGCGGGGTCCCAGGAGTCTAAGGCGACTCCCACTCGCAAACAGGCAAGGACGAGGGCCTGACACCAAGGGATTGCCCGGTTCCACGCAGCATCGACAATTTCCCTGACAGCCGCAGGAGCCTTGCAGAAAAGTTGCACGCAAAGGCGGCACTGGCTAACAGTGGTAGCAAGGTCAGGAGGGGTGATATCAGCGAGAAGCCGAAGCAAAGGGGTGGTAAGTTTGTGACCGACTTGCCAGGATGACAACAGGATCCTAGCTGTGCGTTCAAAGAGTCCAGCCAATGGCGCAGCAGCCCGGGCGGAGTCAGCGCGCGAGAAGGCCAAGGAGGAGTAAGCTGAGGGGAGAACGCGGCCGGTAATCCAGGCTCGTTTCAGTTCCCAAGGCAGACAATTGCTGCAAAGCAGGGTTCGGGCAAGAGACGCCGCCGCTGACCCCCGCTGTGCCGACAGCTCGCAGTCACGCCTGCCGGTGTCTCGAGGCAATTGGGCTACACCCAAGTATTTGTACTCAGGGCAAAGGCGAATGCTGTCACCTTTGGAAACTTCCAAAAGGGCGTCGCCGCTGAGCAAGGCGCCGCGTGCAGCGCGTGCGCCGTCTCCCCTAATATCGACAAGGGCCTCGGTTTTGCCTGCCCCAAGGTTGACCCGGAACCGCAAGCACCGGAGGGTGTCAAGAATGACACCGGTGAGTTGGGGGAGCTGTGTTTGGAGCTCGGCAGGACTATCAAAGTCCGCAAGGACGGCAAGGTCGTCAGCCCAGCCAATCGGCTTAACGCCTGGCTCAAGGCCGATCTCGACCCCGGCACTGGTGTGCGAGATGCCCATGGAGCAAGCAGTGCGCTGGATGTGTTGCAGCCCGATGGCAAATAGGGCGCCGAACAGGACGTCAGCTAGGCCGTCTCCGGGACGGGAGCCTCGGGAGGCCAGGAAAATGTTGTCCGACCCGGAGAGCGACCAGTGGGATAGGGCAACACAATCCCGAAGGAGCGCGCTGACATCCTCAGCAACGCCAAGAGCGGAGAGAGCCCCCTGACCATGAAGCTGGAGCACAAGTCCAGCAAGGTGATGGTGCTCCGGGACATCGACATCGTCAGGGAAGCCATCGAAAAGAAGATCTCGGCTAGCCTCATAGTAAGCGGCTTGGATGTCGACAAAGACAACAGCAACGCACCGCCCCGCAGCGACGGAAAGGTCCCAGGCGCATCGGAAAGCGGCCAGTGCAAACCCAGTGTGGACGCCACGGCGCCCTCCTAGCTGCATGGGCTCATAACGAGACAGCACATGCCCACCGACCGTGGTGCGGAGGTGTGAGTGCCACAGCTTAGCGATGCCGTTAAGGAGGGCGATGGAACGGTAGTTGGCAGGCACTGATGCCGGGCCCTTTTTGTAGAGGACGCAGACGATGGCTTTCTTGAAATCGAAGGGTTCTCGGCCCTGAAGCGCAATGCGGGTGCAGAGTGGCCAAAGCCATTGACCGGCAAGGGCTCCATGTTCCCGCCAGAGCTCGTTCCGCAGGCCGTCAGGTCCTGGTGCCTTAGCTGGTGCCTGTCGGATGCACATTTGCTCCATTTGGAGCAGTGAAGGAACTGCCTCGAGGCACGGGGAGCGAGTGGCATCGACAGAGAGCCACTGCTCGGCTGTTTGTGAGAGCTGTGCAGGAGAGACGAGGCGGGCGCCTTCCTGGTCACGAAATTGTGCTTCAAGCTCACGGTCGATGTCGAAACCGCCAGCGGCGTGCACAGCCCGACGGTCATGGGCCTTACGAGAGGCCCATCGAAGATGCCGGATAGATTCCAAAGGAATGCCTGTGGATTCCCAATGCTGGGTGGCAGCAAGGGTAAGGGTGCGGAAATGGGCAAGCTTATCAGAACGGGCTAGATAGTGTGCCTTCTGCTGCAGACCCCGGATGTGCAGATTACAGGCCTGTAACAGCAACCTGGCATGTTGAAGCCCGGTGGGGTCTGGGCGAGGGACAACAGTATCGGATCGTCCCCTGGCGCAACTCCAGCGCCACACGAGTAGAAGAAAGCGCCGTTTCTGCCATTCGACATTATTGCGGAGGCGCGGGAGTTGCTCGCGAGCCTGCCGCACAACATCCAGGGCGGCGACAGACTCAGCAGTGATGTAGGGCTGGCGGGCAGGCCGCCGAGGAGCTCGCGGGAGGGCCTTCAAGAGGCGGAGGTGCCTAGCCTTGAGATCCCTGATCTCCTGTCCAACCTCAGCGATGCTGCGCACGGGAGATGGGAGCTCGCACCAAAGGCTAGCAGCAATAAGCTGTGCTTGCTGGGCGGTAGCTCGATTGGATGCCCCGGGGGGTCTGGCCAGTGTCGCCTGTCGTTTAAGACAGCATTCAACGAGGAGAGGCATATGATCTCTGCGGCCGTTGAGAATGTCCAGCTCGGGGAGTTGCCGGGCTCGGGTGCACTGCCATGGACCCGCCTGAAGCAGGAGGTGGTCAAGCCGCTTCCGAGTACCGCCCGTATGCTCCCAGGACCAGCCCGGGCCCTGTTGGATGGCGGAGAAAGAAGCTGGTGCAAGAAGACCGAAGCGCTGGATGGTGTCAAAAAGACCTTGCTCGCCAGCACCCTCCTCACTGTTGCCCAGACAGTCGCCTATATAGGCATGGTCTTCGTCCGCCCAAAGGAGGTCAGCGTTAGCATCCAGGCCGAGAACAAGAGACAGGGCCCGGGGCAGCTGGCACAGGGACGAGTGCAACGAAGACCAAAAGTGGTGAATCTCAGAAGCAGGCCGCTCAGCGTGGGGGGCATGGGCGGCGATGACAGCAAGAGGTAAGTCCTCACGCTTGCTGACAATAACGAGAAGACGAGGGTCAGCACTAGCGATGCGCCAGTCATCGAGCCGCAAGGGCGGATTGGTAATGCCAGGCCTTATCCAGATTTCACAACCATAGCTCCCTTTCTGCGCGCCAGAGCGCCACGTGAGGAGGCCGGCTGTGTCCCAACGGCCACCCTTGCTGCGAGTTTCTTGCAGGCAGACAACGTCGAGGCCTAAGGTAGCAACCTGGGAGTAAAGGTACTGGCGCCGCTGACCATGCCCTGAGGGATTGAAAAATGAAGCGTTGGAGTCGCGCATCGTTTGAACATTGGCTGTGACCAAGCGCAAAGGGATGGGAGAATCGGCAGGTGGACGGCCCGGTGGAACAGCGGCCTCAGTGGATGTCAAGGTATCTTCGACAGGAGGGAGCACGTCACCAGCCTCAGTAGCAGGGGCACATGAAATGGTCTGAGAGACCAAACAAATACACGGCCGACCCTCAACGACACGAGCATGCGGGATGACCCACAGCCACGGAGCCGCGTTTTGCATGGGTTGCCAGGAGACTCGGCCCGACCAGCCGGCAAGGAAGTCCGCGAAGGTGTTTGGGAGCACTCCGACATGGCTATGGACATGCTGGAACCGTGTGGAGAGCCGAGCTTGGACGGCCTGCCAAACATACCGAGTGGTGGTGGTGGCAGGTGCTGCGGCTTGGGCCTGCCCTGCTGCGATTTGAAGTGCCGCAGCGTTATCGACCGCAACAGTAACCTTGGTAGGGGCAGAGGCTGTGAGAAGGGACAGGCGGTCAACCCAGGCAATAAGCCAGAGTCCGGCAGCCTGTAAGGCCGAGAGTTCAGTGTGGAAGGAGAGGCCGCCTGCCGAGGGCGGCAGGTCGGGGGTCCAGGGGAGCTGATAGCCAGAGGCCCCAAACCAACCGACGCGGTACCATCGATGGCGCCACCAGGCCCACACACAAAAGGCCCATGCCCCTCCATGCTCGCCGCTGCCGTCAGTGGCAATGAAGACCTGGTCAGGCACTCCACCGTGCCAGAGCGGGAAGTTGCAGAAAGCCTGACGGTATGGTGGAGGGGCGGATGCGGGAAGAAACGGGTAAAGCTCATGAGACCACCAGAGTTGGTGTATGGACGCCTGGGCGACGCATTCTTCATGAACATCGGCCGACCACGAGATTCCATCAGTGCTGCTCCAAACAGGCGCGCCCCGAGCGCGGAGATAGCAGCAGGTACGGAACAGGAGGCCAAAATCAAACGTGGGAGCATGGCAGTCTCCTGAGAGGGCCCCTGCACGGGGAAAGAGCGGGTGAGCTGGGACGGCCGGCGGGCCGTAGCTTGCCAGGAGCCCGAGACCAAGGGCAGCAAGCCAAAGCCGCCGGAGAGATCCCGGGAGCAGACCCCCAACTAAAAGGTGGGGAAGGAGAAGGGACGGGGTTGGTCGACAGCCAGAGATGCTATCTCCGTCACGCAGCAGGCCACTCGCCCCTTGTCGCGGAACGACCTGGACGCGCAGGGGAGGCTGTGCGGGAAGAACATGCGCACGGTGCAGGTTCGGGCTCTCAGGGACAAGGTGAAGACCGAGGTCATCAAGCCGCTGTGCAGGAATCCATCGAGTGACACTGAAACGGGCAAGGGAGGGCCGAAATGTGCAGTGCACGGGGTCCCATTGTTCGTCACGGACCGTGGGCACAGTGAGTGGGACTGGGTCACCGGGTGACCAGGCAAACAGGAGCCCAGGTTGGCGTATGCTGAAAGGGCTTCCCCAGAAGGCGAAGTGACGCGCCTGGAGCAGCGTGTCCCAGTAACGCCCGGCCGGCGAGCGGAGGCGAGGAGCCCAGGTCTCTCCAGCGAGAGTGAGAACGTCGCCGGACCGGAGAAAAAGAGTTGGGTTCAGTGAGGTAGCTGTCCCACACCAAATTTCGGGGGGTGCCAAGATGAGAGACAGGTCCCGGACAATTCGATTGCAGGCTCGGAGCAAATCGGCAGCGGCGCACGTAGCTGGAAGGAAAGCAGCCCGGGTGGCAGGTGGGCACTGAAGAAGGACGGTGGCGAACATCGGGTCAGAGGGCACCGGAACCCAGTCAACAAGTCGAGGGTCCTGTGGAGGGTGAACCCGGGTAAAGGATGACCATGCGGGAGCAGCATCTCGAAGAGCGACGGGAGGCTCCAAGGAAACTCCACGGAAGGGTCCAAGGACCCCACAAGCAGGATCCCACAGCCGATGGCAGGTAGGGTAACAGTCTGGCGAAAGAGGGCCCTCTGCGTACAGGTCCAGAGAGGAGCTCGGGGCAGCGCCAGTGTATAGCGAGTAGCCCAGACAGGATGTCCCAAAGCGAGTCCAATAGCGAGGAGAACAGCGCTAGTCCCGGCAGTACGCCACCCAGACACCCCGATCAAACTGAAAACGACCCAAGGTGCAAAGCGTCCGGAGGCCTCGGACACCACATCGCCACTGCGTAGGGTAGTACCCTGCCTGAGCTCGTGATGAGAGACACCGAGGACCCGAGGTTGACCGGAAACAGTCGGCAGTTCAGTCCACAGTTGCCACGCATCTGTGACAGCAGTGATGGAGGCGCACCAGCATTGACCATCCGCTTCCACCACCACATTGGCACGGGATGGGTCC